ACTAAAGTCAATTTGTTGGGTTAGGCTTCACTAATTACACTTCCCATAGAGGACTGACAAAAAAAGTTGAATCCCTTCAGTGGAATATTAATCTACCTGTTACATTACCTCCTGGAAACCCTTTCCCAGCACCTTTTGTCAGTAATAGTTCAGGTTCCCAATGTTAGAAAGGTTTATATTTCATTAGTTATCTTTATTACAAAAACTTTCACTGACAAACTTTGTCTTTTGGGAACTGAGGTCATAACCATATGGAAGACTTTCTCTTCATTATTATGAAAGTGACATTTCTGGATAACTACACATACAGAAAACCAGAACAAAAGTAAATTGGTTTTACCTCAGAAGGAAGTTGAAAGCATAAGAGATCAGCATCATTCTTCCAGCCACAAGTCAATTTTATTTTAGTGTGTGATAAAACAAGCTATTTCTTCCCTGTGTTTTCGGTTTGGGACTCTTCACACACATTTAATATTGCAATGCAAAAAACACAATCCTTCCTTCAACAGTGAAGACAAGACTTTTCCTGGCCGCTTTAGAGAGATTTAAATAGGACAGTGCAAGGTGAAGAAAAGAGTTGTGCAAAATTTGCCGACTGCATTTTGACCTAATTCTCTGAATTCTTGATTTTGCAGGGACTACACCACTGCTTAAACTCCCAGAGGCACAAATATCAAACTTCAGAAAACAAACCTCATCAACTGTTAAACACTTCAGACTGCACAAGATTAAGAAGTGGGATTTTGATCCAAATCCTTCTTATGTTGAGGATCACTAATGCCAGCAGACGGTTTGCTCTCAGAATTAAGAAAGGTGAAATAACTAGCCAAATACAGTGCAGCAAAATCATTTTTAATTACTACTTCGGAAGAGCAGGCTTCCGATGCGCAGCCTTCCTTCTTACCCACCAGCTCAAAGGAACAGATTAGTTTGAAAAAGGAGGAAAAAGAAACATCTGATACTTTTTTTCTCACACATCTCATCAATGCCAAGACCTTTTCTACCCACACAAATATATTTTTTAATCAAAAGTACAACCAACTCAGTCATGAAGCTCAAAGCATGAGAAAGAACAAAGTCTGCATCAGAACAAAAAGAAAGGTTGGCGTCAGTCTCTTCTCCCAAGTAACAAGTGATGAGAGGAATCAGCCTCACATTGCACGAAGGGAGCTTTAGATTGGATATTAGAAAACATTTCTTCACCAAAAGGATCATCAGGCTGCCCAGGGAAGGGTTTGAGCAGCCATCCTTGGAGGTACTTAAAAGACGCGTAGATGTGGTGCTTAACAGCATCACTTAGTGGGGGACTTGGCAGTACTGAGTTAATGGCTAGACTCAGTTTTACAGGCCTTTTCCAATCTAAATAATTCTATAATTCCATAACCCCTCTCCCTGGATACCTGAGGAACTGAAAAGCATGTCCTCTCAGAGACAGTGCACACTAGGGCAACCGGAAAACATGACATGGCAAAATACATATTAAGAAAAATTATCTGCTAGATTTTTTTTAAATGGAGATTCCACCCATACATCACCAGGAATCTCTTCTCTGGTGAAGAACTGCCTGCTAAACTGGTTTTCAAACTAAAGAGTTGAGCCCACATCCCATTTATGTTAGATTTATGCTCCTTTTCTGTTGCCTATTCTTTAAATGCAGGAGCTCCTTATTGCTGACTTCACGGGGGAAGTCTCTTTGAAGGGCTCAATTTCTTTCCCAGGAGTCACACTGAATGTAAAGCAGAGCAGTGGCTACTCTAGCATCAACTGAGAAGAATCCAAGAACAAACACGTTTCCCTTCATTTACTACACTTCCTCCTGTATTAAGTACCACAGTAACAAATTATCACATTTGGCTCTGTATTGGCCAAATTTGACAGTGACCCACCAGAAAGACAAAGGGTAAATTCGTTGGATGTACTCTGAGTGAAGAAATACATTCAAATAGAGAAAAGCGGACCTGTACAGGTGAGGGTTTCATGCAGAACCCACTGAAGTAGAGGGATAATGTCCTACAGACCCATTTGGCCCTGGGCTCCATCTCTAAATGGCTGCATAGAAAAAGGAGCACTTTGGTAATTATTTGAAGTTACATTTGAAGATGCCTCAGTGAGCACTTCCAACGCAAGTGCCTTATCACCTTCCCAGCATGCCTGCTGGGGGACCAACACAAAGCCAGCCATGGAAAAGGAAGCCTGAAGGGTTTCATAAGCACAGAAATCTTTTACAACTGAGGAATAAAATTGAATCAATGCTATTCTGAAGCCTCTTCTTTTAGCTCTGGCAACTTCAACTGTCACGTAAGATTTCAAATGATACTGCTCATGCTACGTGCTGTAGAGACGCAAGTGTGACCTTGAGCATGCAATATTTCTTTCACACACTGCTGATTGCATCAAACAAGCCAACCAACACTCCCCCTCCACACACTGCAGCCAGAGAACTCAAATCTGTACGGGATACTAACAAATAGCTCAATGCTATGGAAGGTGAATCCTATTTGGGTGCATGATAGAAAAACTGTTGTAAAGTAATTGCTGAATGTCAGCTTTAAACTCAAAAAGTGTAGTATAGATAAATAAAAACAATAAATCTAAAACAAATATAAAAAAAAGTATTCTTACCAAATACAAACGAGTCTTCCAAGTGATTATAAACATAATTGGCGAGTTGTGAAGGCCATAAATTCTTCCCAGGGTTCTGGGACTATCATAATAAACCACAAAACATATGTGGGATATGATGTCACCTTTGCCATGAAATGTATTGATAGCCCAGTTCAATATGTTCCCATATTTATGTTTTTATAATACATAGTGGCAACCACAAATTTTAATGGAAAAACAGTTTTATTTAGCAGAGAAATAGAGGTCTCTCTCCTAGCACTTATAAACTGCATACCTCAACTTTTGCATTATCCAGAAAGGATTGTCAATACAACAATACAATGCATAATGATACAAGGTCTTGTTGACAGCATATGAAACCCTTTATAGTTAGCCCTGGAGTACACAAATGAGAAAATGCCTAGGCCAGCATGGCTGAGGCCTCTGTTTATTCTTCTCTTCTGTCCTAAACTTCCCTCTGAGCCCTGCAGAGTGCAGAACCTATCCATACCCTTCCGGGCAGTCCTCTCTTCAGTTTGCTGCAACAGCACAGCATCTCCTATTTTGTAGGTATTTAGTACACTGTTATCAAAGCAAATTGCTTCTAGTTATTTATGTTTTAGGTGCTGCTGTAGCATAATTATTTTTTCATAGGTGGACCCCAGTAAACTTTTACCCAGGCTTCCCACTTCCCTTTCACCAGCATAGCAAATCTTACCTACTAATTAAAACCAGGGTATGCCAATTAGCTTGCACTTTTTGTAATAAGATAGGTTTTTTTTTTTCTTGCTTCCTTATTACCTCATTAGGAGACTATAAAGTTGCATGACCTTCATCAGCTCCACCTTCTGCAGTAGGAAAAACAGACTCCTTTTCCCACAGCCAGTCCACATACCATAAACATCAAATCCAGATCAGTAACAAGTCGCTGACAACTGACACCTTGCTGCTTCTGTTTTGTGCCTCTGTTTCTGGCTCTAGGCTCTATTGCAATAAAGAGCAGCAAAGATTCCGGTTTCCCTCCTCTTCTTTGTAACCTCAGAGCAGTTCATCCCCAATTCACAATTCCCAGCCTCTTGGTTCAAATTCTATCTAAGCATAGTTGATCTCAGTATTACAGTATGTTTGAGGAAATGAGGGAGTACAAGCTCTTTCTAAAGTTTCCAATTGCTGGGAAAGCAATGGAAATTTTTCTTTTCTCTGTACATAACTTGAGGGACAAGTATACTAGCTGACCCATAATATCAAAATGGTTTTGAACTCTCTAAGGCTAAGGCATTTATCAACTGTGGGGCTTTCGTGCCTTTCAAAAATTAGCTCTTGCTATACACTGAGCATGATGCTTCTATACATAGCTGTTTTCCAAGAAGCACCCTTCCAATCTCAGACCTTGCTCCCAGGCAATGGGATACAGCCAAAGCCAGACTCATCTTCAAACCATAAGACAAGATTCACATGAACATCCAGATATGTCCCTGTGAGAACTTTATTTTTTTAAAAACAGCTAAATTCTGACATCTGATTCTACTATATACATTGTGACTGGATTTGCATGGCTTCACACATCCTGTGAACATCACACGGCCAAGCATGTTGAATAAAATGAAATACATGTATTTCTTACTAGGTCTGTAGCAATGAATCCAATTACTCATACCAAAAATACATGTTCATGTGGCAAAAGGAAACAAGGGTGAATATTGCAGTTAGGATGTTGCACCCACAGATTACAAGATTTTTATAGCATCATAACTGCAAATTAGATTTTTTTTTTCTGCTGCTTCTGGTCAGCTAATTGGATGGGGTATCCATTATAACACTCTATTACGACTATATCATTTGTCTTAACAGTTTCAATGCCCTTGTCTAAAGCTCCATCACTGTATAGCAGCTGGTCCAGACAGAACTGTTCATTTAACAAAATGATCTCAGAAGCTACTAGCTTCTAGTCTGTAGTCTGAGTCCTTCACTGAGAGACCCAACACTGTTCTCAAACATTCTTTCTCAATATACTCATGGGGTGTTTTTTTTTCTTCCTCTCAGACCCGTTTGTCCCCAAATTTCGGACATTAATTTTTCCAAAATCATGACTTTTACACAGTGATTCTTATTGACAGACTTCCACTATGCCATAGCATAGAAAATTCCTGAAGAAGTTATCATGCCAGTAATAAACACATCTGTAAACAAAAGATGGTCCTAAATTACAACAGCAGGTCTGAATACTCTCTAGTTTTAGAGCCAAGCCCAAACGTGTCTGAATTTTACAAATGGTTCTTCTATTAATCAACATTCCCATCCTACATGTTGTTAAACCTTCTTACGTTCTCACCAGCTGACTACTGAAGTTTATGTATGATCAGTTAGCAAAGTTAAATGAAGGTGAATGATTATACCTCTAAAAAACAGGTGAGGTTCTGGAGGAAGTCTCGTCATCAACATGCCCTTCCCTGAATAAAAGCATCCTTCTACCACTGAGGTAGTGACTTGTCCCCAGAGATGCCACTCCTAAAAGAAATGTGAAGGAGAATTTGCAGGTAGCTGTGACAGTACAACCACATAACATTTCTCAAATTAATTTACCCTGCTCAGACTCCACAGCTGCAATGGGTTTTGTGCCTCTTTACTGGGCTAGATCATTGTAAACCCTTTAGCCTGAGAACCTAGCTCATGTTTCAAGACTTCTCAGCTTGTTTCTTAGCCTGCTAGGTGGAACTGTATGCACACAAGTACCCTTTGCTACAACATCGTTTGTTTACAAAGAGTGTAAACACAATCCTACACAGTAGATATCAATGACAGAGCTCCAAGGTGGATGAGCCTGGGGCATGAAGGCACAACTAAAGAGCAACCAGTTCCTTCTCACCACTCCTGCTCTGAGTTTGTAGTAAGTTCCAGAGAAACCCCTCATCTAGCATACATTATGGTGAGGTTTTCAAACCTCACTGCTACTAGAAAGCATACCCTTATTCCCCTGGTCTTTGAGGTGGCCCAATCAATTTCCCATCTGAAAGTGAAACCTTCCCCCTAGACTACCAGCTCTCAGCCATGCCAACTCACCTCTGGGCTGCACAGGCGCATAAAAGTGAAAAGCAGCAGGGGACAGGACCATTCACCCGTCTCTTTGTTTTTATCCCCTTTCTTTAACATAGCCATCAACCTGCATCCTCAGCATCTGATGAACCCCACGCTCCCTGGTCCATTTCCAATGGAGACCTTGCAGCTCCCTCCAGTGCTCACTGCACATAGGAATGTGTATTCCTTCCTTTGCTTCCTCTACTTTCCTGGAAGCAAAGGGGTTCAGGAGTCACATCACCTTCAGCAAAACCTACAACAGCCTGTTGATCAGTGACCCTCTCAATGGCAGCCATTATCTCCTCTTCAAATAGCTTTATTATTTTATACACGCAATAGTGCTGCTGTTAAGCAGCTTGTGGTTCACTCTGGAGTGGACTGTCCTCTGGTGGTGGTTTCTGTGGCATGGTCTTGTATAAATAAAGATCATGGTCATCTTAGGGAACTCTTCTCAAGCTGTGGCAAATATTTTGCCATGGGACAGCCTTTAAAAACTGTTTGGGCAGCTAACACTGATTGTAACCCATCCTACCAAAATAGGGAAAGGCCTTGAACTGTTTCTCACTGTTTTATTCTCTCACCCAAAGCTGCATTTAATCAGTGTTATTTCCAGGATTTACTAAGATTTTGCTGCCTCAAGAGAGCTTACAACTCAGGAGAAAACTTGGCAACTTAGAAGAAAACATTCCGTGTATTATGTAAAGCTATTCTTAGCACACACATGTAATTTCTAAGAAGCATAAATCACTGTGTTTTAAAGTACATAAGAAAACTGGTAATCTAATAGTAAGTTTTTACCCTGCCAGTCTAAGGCACATAAGTTCATGTCAAACTGTGCACGTTTCTCAGTAGGAATCTGATGTTCTCGGGGATCAAGGACAAGCGTAGAACTTGTGTGCAGAAATCACATAAACAGGGGCATGTTCAGATTGTCATGCCTAAGTACATTTGTTCTCTTGAACAAAGTGGTTATCATCACTGGGTCATCTCCAGTGAACAGCCACACGGATGTAGTGGTAGGACACACACAGGTTACAGAATGACAGTGCCCCTTCACAACCTCAGCTGCCAGAAAACAAAGCATACCCAGCTAGGCATTGCACACGAGGCTTTAAGAGGAGTACTGAAGAAAATAATCATGAAAGAACTACCAAGGCAAATGTTACCTTAAAAATTTAGTGCAGACTGACTTCCTCTTATGAACTCCTTCTTTACTGAATTTATGTATAGATAGCTAGACAACTTCCCTGTCGCAAGAGACTGACAGGCGAGAAGGCATCCATCTGAGCAGACTGCTCACCTATTCTTATTCTAAGAACCTAAAGCGCTCAGAACGATTTCATATACAAGGGCTATGAATATGAGCCTCTCACGGCTGACAAATGCCTCCTCCTTTGTGCTCTTGGTCCCATATTAACAGAATATTTTTATCTTGAGGGCAGACTCATTTACTGTCATGAAGTCCACGCAGCCTGTGGCAAATTGCACCATGTGTGTAGACCGCAAAAGCAAGGCATCATGCTTACGGGGCCAATTACATGAGATGAATGGAGCTTGAATGCCCAGACCAGAGCTGAAGACAGACAGGCTATCTGATTAAACAAACCATTAAGGATGAGCCATACTTTAAAATGCCCCCCACACGCACCTTTTTAACTTTTCAGTTCAATTGCAATTTTTTATCTGGAAGTTGGGGAAAGACCTAGGTAGCCACAGTAGATGTATATTATGGGGAGTATGCTGAAGGTGACAGTTATAAACACACTGTCTCCACAAAAACACTTCATTTACAAAACAGATTTGACAGCTCAGTTTGTTTGCAATGCAGAGCACTCCTCCCAAACCCCCACATGGCCCTGTGAGCCTTGATTACTTCTTTGATGCCAGCTCTTCCATAGAGACCTCTGAAATGGAAGTGATGAATGAGGTCCTGTCAGGCGCCATTCCCTGGGTGGCCTTGAATCCATACAGTTATCTGTTACGCTGCCAGCCCTGACAGTGATGAACACAATGCAGGCAGCTGACAACACCCCTATTCATTACCAAAAAAAAAAAAAAAGAAAGAAAGAAAATAATAAAAAAAAAAAAGATAGATGGAAAGAGGTTTGTTTGCCAGCCTTCAATGCTCCACTCATCTACATTTCCTTCAGAGGACTTGCTTGGGAAGGATATGATGAAGTCTGTTTATACAGTTATGTGGAGCAGGAGATCCAATGTCCCCCAGTTCCATCCACTAAGGCTGAGCAAACCACTCAGATTCTGGCATTTCTTTTTCTTTTATTCCTTTAATTATCTGCAGTTCACATTTATTGCAGACATGCATTCTGATGAGGCTGCACAATGGCCACAGAGCAGTCTGATGACACTTTCATGTATCACTGACACGGTGTTTCTGCTAACCAAAGAAGTATCTTGCAAACGGATGAAAGCAGAGAAGAACTGCAAGCCTAATCTGTTGCAATTAGGGCAGATTACAGAGCTGCCTTGTTTTCTCCATAATCTTAACTTGGGAGGAAAGGTTCCTACATGTGAATTGATCCCATGGGTATTCTCTCTCATTTTGCCTCCAGCAGCTTGCCCGAAGAACTCGGTGCCCTGCTTGCTGGCTTGTATCAGCCTGACCCATATGCGCTCACAAGTTTCTTCATTAATGGAAGCTGGCAAGGCGATGTATATTGCCTTCTAGAGCCATCATGCTCTTCTGAAACTACAGACCAAGAGACACAAAATGTTCAGACCTACAACACACATAGATGCTGCCTCACCTCACTCTTCCCTTGCATACTCCTCAAATTCAAATTCAGTCACACATGCCTAAAATTTATAACTTAAAACAAAATGCACATCACAGCACTCACATTCCAGAGACACAAGAGTCTTACGTGTAAAACAGGCTAAAAAAAAAAAAAAAGTTCTCTCTAAACCACTTATGAAAGACAGCTAGAAGTTCGGGGTTTTTTGCTTTTAAACCAAAAATTTTCTTCTGTGGCATCTTTTCATTTGCCACCACTAACACACATAAAACCCAAAACTTAGAATGTTTTATTTAAAAAAAGAACAACCTGGGTTATTTCCTGTCCTCATTATGACTCAGATCTGCCAGGCTCTCTCTCACATACTGTACCACAGAAAACTTATATTACACTGGAAAAGGAGGCACTGCAAAGTAATTCCAGAGCAAATATCATTTCAAACAAATGCTTTACTCTGATTTTGCTCAGAGCTCACAATTCTGATATGAAGTTTAAATTAAATTATTTTGCTTATTTTCCCAGAAGGGAGAACCTTCATAATGTTGGATTTACCCAACTGATACTAACCATTTAAATGAAGGCATTTACTTTTAATCAGGTACCTGAGCTCTGCCTATAGTCATGGGAAAGAAAAATCTCTAAAAGCAAATTGCATCTTAGAAGCCATTTTACCTTAGAAACCGATCTTTAGATAGACCAATCCCTTCAGGTTCTTCTGTCGTCATCTACTATTGAGGGAGCGATATTATCTATTGTAGACTAGATGCCTAAGTTTTTTAATAGTGAGATGTCAAAGTAATGAGTAACATACTGCAGACACCTTTCCTTTCTTGTCTCGCATCTAGGTACTAAAACTATGAGCCAGCTAATAAAAACAATGCTTTATTTCAGAAAGCAACTGCTTCTTCATTTACAAAAGTTATGACAGTTCTTGAAAATTCTGTTTAAAAGCAGAATATTTCCTGCATAGAAAGTAACTGCTCTGCTTCTCCTGTTGTTGCAGGACAGCCCTTCAGGCAAATGTTGTGGAAGAAATACAATACAGAAAGTACAGAGAAATTTTTGCAGAGACAATGCAAAAGATCGAGTGGCAAGATAATCTGTACACTGACAGTTTTAATTTTATTTCTTTTAATTATTTTTTTATTTAGTCCACCAACACATACTTCGGCTGTAATCATCTCACAGATAGAACACCCACAAAAAGCTAAGACTATAAATTAGTGGTTATTCATGTACATCTCAATACCTCCCTCTGCTGAGCTTACGCAAACCACTTGGTAAAACCTGATAACCTTGGTAAAACCTAATCTAATCTAATACAAAACTCAACTTTTATTCAGATAGACTGGTGCTTAAACATTTATGATAAAACAAGGTTTCATACATCCTGGAGACATACAGGTTCAGCCCTCCCTGCTGACACAACTGCTGCAACACCTCATAAGGAAGGGCTGTCTTCGTAGCAGGCAGCCCCCAAGCTGTACAAGCCTGGGACAGATTTGTCCTATGAATTATAGGATCCAATGTTGTGCCCACAGCAAGGACTCCATTTCCTGCACAGATTTAAAATCCTCTCTTATTTAAGGCATATGACAAGAAAGAAAGCAGAAATCCACAAGATCTGTGCTGCTAAGTACATAGTACAGAGGATGTTTGCCACAGGATTAACCTCTGGTA